TGATTCGCATATAGTAGGTTGTGTTTTTTGATAGATCATGTGATATGCATACTACTTATTTTCAGATTCACTAATTGATAAAATTGGAGTTCGAGAAGATAAATTAAAAGTGATTGATTTAACAAAAAAGGATGTTGTCGTGGATACGCTGACTGAAGCAAGAATTAATTGCTCTACAGATGAAAAGGTATTCAGTATGATGTCTGTTAGTGTTCACGTGTTCATCACAGGTTGAATTCCATTGAATCATATTAATTGAAATGATCTTATATTGATACTGTATTTGTTGTATCAGAAGGACATTTTTAATAAAATTGTTCACAAAATTGTATTTATTGTATGCAGAATTTCTGCCATGGACCAGCAGTATACTTTAAAATACTTTATTTTAGCTGGATTTAATTGGATTAGACTTTTTGGTGTTTTGTATGGAATTTATTTTCACTGATTTTTGACAAGTTGAATGTAAATTATAGGAAAAAGATATATTCGCTGGATGTTATTTCCACTGAATCATATTGAAAATGAATTCCAAGCGAAAATAAAATATTCCACAGTAATATATTATCATAGGCTTGATCAGTAAAATAGAATCTTTATTGACCACTAATAGACACCTCTGCCATTTACCAGTTTGTAAGTACATACACTTAGTATTCGAAACATTTCTGTCTTCTACGTAAGCACACACACTACTGATGTATTCCATTTAAGTGAGTTTCAAATTTGATAAAAAGTTTTTTTTGAATATTTTGAACAAGGGATTTTTCTTTCATAATATAGTGTTATGTTGCTAAAACATACACAGAAACGTAAAACTTAAGGAGGATGCAATGGATACTTAAATATCGTGATATTTTATATGTCACATTGGACCCATCTTGAAAATATCACAATTGGCTTAATGTCTAGTCACAGCATAATAATATTTGAACAGTTCAAATTTATTCAGTGATATGAGCACTGTCCCTCAATCAGTTTGTTTGAAAGAGTGCCAAATTTATTTGAAACTTGCAACAGTCTTGTATACCATTACTGTTGCACTGTGTACAAGATTGGAGAGATTTACACCTTGCCCTTTCTAGATCAGTCTGTAGAGACTGTGATATGAGGCAGTGTTCGTGTAGTGTTGGTATGTATTTTTAGCCCTCATTGAACTGAGTCTGAAAGGGAGCTCGTGATTTGGATTCCATTCGTCTGTCTGTCTGTGCAATCTCTTATAAAATATAATTTTGTTTTCCTCCACAGGATTTCTATTTATATTATTTCTTATTGCAATATCCCGGACGGACACTAGTCTTTACTAATAGTATAGACTGCATACGACGACTTATATCGATACTAACGTTATTACAATGTAATCCACTGCCGTTACACGCAAACATGCATCAAAAACAAAGACTGAAAAATCTTGAACGATTTACGTCAAATCCCCATGGGTTGCTATTGGCAACAGACGTCGCTGCCAGGGGATTGGATATTCCAAATGTTCAACATGTTGTACATTACCAAGTGCCGAGGACGTCAGAGGTGGGTGAAGATATTTAATAGTCATACATAATGATTATCATAAAATATAACAACTCCTAGAATGCGCCTTTTCTATAAATTAATATGCTTCAGAATAAACCAGTGGTAATTTCGCATCAGACCAATATTTAAGAAAGAATTATAAAATTGCCACGGCTAGAGAAGTCTATATGTTTATCTCACCTAAACTTACTTTTGATCTGCTGATCATTTCTCATATATTCTTATCTCTTTCTAGACGTACGTTCATCGTAGCGGGCGGACAGCACGTGCCACTAAAGCGGGTCTGAGTTTAATGTTAATCGGTCCCGATGATTCTGGATTTTATAGAAGAATGTGTAAAACGTTAAACAAAGGTATAGACTTAGTGTGATATTCTGAATATACTATGGATGTATCTGAAAATATACATGATGATGTATTTACAATATACTATGGATGTATCTGAAAATATACATGATGTATTTACAATATACTATGGGTGTATCTGAATATATGCATGC